CCGCCGCACCGCGGCGGAGTCGACGCCGCCGCGCCCGGGCGCGCCGCGCGCGCTGCGGGCGGACCGCGGGGCCGGCGGCGTTGCGGGCGCGGGCGGCGGCGTCGTCGCGGTGAGGCAGCCTTCTGGGTCGACTGCGACGGACGAGTCGTCGGCGCCGCTGCCGGCGGTAGCGATGTCGAGCTCGAAACTGTCTGTGGTGCCCATGGGGGACCGGAAGCTGCACACCGAGTCCATGATGAAGGTGGGGGGTCATGGGAGGTTGCCTTGCTTGTGGTTTGGGGTTTAAGGGCGCCTGCAGGGTCTTGGTGTTCATGGTAACGCAAAGCAGCGGGTCGCGCGGCAGATAGACACTGGATGTTTGGATTTGAGGGCTTTGAAGGCCTAGAGGCTGCGCTTCCCGGGGGAGCGAGGAGTCTGGTGGGTATCGTCGGGGGCACGCATCACTGTTAAAGGCCGCGCAAGCGCCGTCGCGAGGCGGGCTTCAGCCTTGTGCCGGCCGCGGCGGCTGCCCCTGCGCGACGAATTGCTTGTGAGCCGACGGGTCAACGGCAAGCCGCCCCCCTCTCCCACTACCCCTTGCACTGTGGCAACGGTTGCAGCCTCACCCGACACGAGCGTGCGTGCATACTTCCTCGGCTCCCCGCCCTGTGTCCCAGGTCCTCCAGAGTGAGATCCGCCGCAGCCGCCGCTGCAGCATGGAGCTGTCGTTCGTGTCGGATCTGATGATCTCTGACGAGATCGGCCGCGGCGGCTTTGGCACCGTGTACTCGGGCTCCTGGCGCCAGTCGCCGGCGGCCATCAAGGTGTGTGCGTGTTTCCGTTGACAGCAAAGATCGGCCAGGTGCCGTGTGGCCGCGCCTGCCGCAGCCGTGCCACCCAACACTGCAGGGGCGGGACGCAGCCCCAGAGGCGAAAGGCGTTGAGGCGTCTCCTGGGGGCGCAGGCGGGCTGGGGCCTGTTTTGCCAGCGGCCCTTGGGGCTGGTGTTGTCAGGCCCTGTCACGCACCCTGAGTTTCCGCTGCTCCACCCCCATCCTTTGACTCGTTTCAACCCCACATCGGCCAGGACGCGACACACTACTGTAGTACTCGTTTCAACCCCACATCGGCCAGGACGCGACACACTACTGTAGTCCCTTGATCCAAATCCGTTCTGCACAAAATCAACCTCGTGCGGCAACACCTGAAACCCCCGCGCGCCTCCCACAGGTTATGGCCGCGCGCTCGAGCGACGGCGAGGCGGTGTCGGACGCGATGGAGATGGCGGTGCTGTCGACAGTGCAACACCCCAACATAGTGCAGCTCTACGCCTGCCTGCTGGGCATGGTGGTCGCAGAGGACGGTGAGGGCGGCACCATCAGCATTTTCCGAGGCGTTCCTTTTGCGGAGGATTGAGACCGCTTTTGAAGGGCCTAAGGGCAGTGTCTGTGCTTGCCCCTGGCACTGAGACAGCACGGGGCGCGGCGGCGATCGGCGTCGGCTGTGCTGGAGCGGCCTGGGGTCGGCTATGGGGTTGCCTGATGGTGGGGGCCGAGTGTGGGTGAGGGCGGGGGGGTCCGCTCAATACCCCGCCCCAATTCCTCATGCTTGACTCATTTATTGACGGGTATGTGGCCTGATCTGCGCTGATCCTGTGCCTGTACGGGCTTCGCCACCCCCCCACCCCCGTCCCCGGCACCCCCCCAGGCGAGGGCACCCTAAGCCGCTCCTTCTGCAACCCCCGCGGCGGCGCCGCGGCTGGTGGCGG